CCCTATTGCATAAAATAGTCTACTTGGTGTTGAAAAGATCGGAATGCTGGTTACATGTGTATGAGGAAAAAAGTTGAGGAAAGATAGAATTAGGAAGGAAAACTGGATAAACAGAAATACCCTCCCAGTGTTTCCCTCCAGATGTGGGTTACCTCTGGCCCACAGCTGCACTTTTGGGACATGAATGAAAGTGGACTGAGTCCTAATGTAAGTGGATTAAGAGAGACCAGTTAAGAGTTTGGTCTCAAGGTTTGTTTGTACCCAGGAGATGAACTTTTACAAAATTAATTGAGAGCATATTAGTATCAGAATCATGAATATAAGAGAGTTTTGTATATGTGATAATTATTAACCTTAGTATCTTATCTCAGTTGTTTTCCTAGAATTTCTGTAAACTCAACTTAGTTTGCAGAATTTTAGTCATTCTTTTAACAAATTTTAAAAGTTTCATTTGTAGCTTCCGTTTGATAAGGAGCTAATATCAGAAATAGAGTAAAGTCTTACAATAGGAAAGATCCACTAATGCAGCTGGTGCCTCGTAGACTGGGCTGTGACTTGTGGAATCATCTGTGTATTAATGTAAGCCTTGATGAGTGATGTTAGCTGTATGGATGTGTAATCTTCACATTGCAGACATTTTACAACCCTTTTGTGACCTTGTTACAAATATTTAAAATTGTGTTCAAGTTCTGCTTTGCTGTTTAATAAAAAGCTGTTTCAGGAAAAAAAAAAAGAAAGGCAGAAAGAATCAGTAATGTAGACTTCTAGTACATTCCATGAGTGGAACTCAGAAGGTGAGCTCTAATGCATTTGATCTAGTTCTGAATGGAAGGGAACTGAATGGAATTGGTGTTCCCTAAGCTGAGGGTTACTCAGACACTGAAGATGCCCCAAGCCAGGTCACTTAAAATGAGTTTTTATATCCCCTGAAAAAGAGACATTAGCGGCCATGGGTGGAGCAGGTAGGAATGTCTTCCATACCTGACAGGGTATTTATCTGTCTGGAATATGACTTCAGAGGATACAAACAGGATCAGAGGTAGAAATGACAGAGAATAAGACTTTAGCTCACTTGATAACCCAGGATGTCTAGGATCCGGGTGCTTTGCAGTACATAATCAGCTTCTCTAGAACCATTTCCCATCTGGACACCTCAGGGGATGGAGTTCTGTGATTCCATGGGGAAGAGAGCTAGATGAGACAGATGTCCACAACACTCTGCGAATCTCTGAATCACCTATGCCTGTCCCCTCTCTCCACAAAGGCAGAGTATAAATAGAAAGCAGTGAGGAAAGTACACTTCATAATGTAGGTTTGTGTGAGAAGGCAGTGACTCAGGGTCCCTCCCACATTTTGTGTACTGACAGTAGCACAGCCAATGGCATGGAAAATTAATAGTCAGTGGGATATTAGTCAATGAATTAGTCCCAAGCCTCCCACAATCAGCAGGTCATGGACCATGTCAAACTTGGGCTTGGGGAATCTCTGTATGTAACCCTCTAGGGTCTCTCAAGAAACATGTAGTATGCTGTGGCAAAGAGCTGGCTACAAGACCATTTTGATTGGGGTTTGGCCACATTTCCTAAATTGTCTAATGTTTTGTCCTTTGTTTTCCTTATCTGCAGAATGACTGTGATGAGATCTACTTAAGATCTCATTGGGACAATCACTCAAGGCAACAAACGTAAAGTTCTCAGGAAGCTGCTGGCACACATCAAACACTTGAAGAGTGTCTGGAGTTAGGCTGACCTCACGTCCTGAGCACTGAGTTGGTTAAGGGCTGCATCAGCTGTCTATTGCTATTACAGTACTTATTTGGTTTTCTCCCATGTAAGAAAGCAAGCTCCAAACTAAAATAAAACAACAACAACAACAAAACTTCTAAGCATTGATTTTCCACTCATTGATTTCTAAGTTTCTGCATATGACCTAGTGTATTTCTATGTCCAAACACTTGTGACCAGACCAAACAAGCAGGTGCTTCAGGGAAAGAGGTATAATCTACATTCCTTTTCAACTGGGAGATTATCCAGCTACAGTCAGAACAGGATAATAAAAAATGGCGAATAGCTGTGTCTCATTTCACCCCAGGCACGTTGTACCAGTGTCAGCAGGGAGGCAGCATGTAGACAGAGGTCTGTTGGGCTCAGCTTTGCCTTTGTACAGCCTTCATCATCCAGAAACCCAGCACACGGGCTGTCATGGTTCAATCAGCCAGGTAAGTTCTAACTTGTGACCATAGTTCCCTTTTAGTAAGTGAGGAAACTGAGGGTCAAGGAGTTTAAACAAGCAGGTCTGACTGAGGCAGCCACACCAGAAGATGATAATGTTGGGATCCAAATTGAAGCCTAAGGACTGCAATGGCCCTGCTTGTGTCACAAGCCCCATTTCAGAAATGCAGTTGAGCTAGTACATGATTTGCTTCTAAGAAGCATACACCTTTACCTCTGGTGCTGAAAGTTACGGTAATGGCCTCAGGGTAACTAGGCCTGGGCAGAAAACAAGGCTCAGCCACACTTCAGTGCCTCCCCCTACTTACCTAAGGCTAGACACTTTCCCTAATCCTCACTGCCCAAGGTTATAGGACCTCAAAGGGCAGCAACAATCGGACAGAAGCTCTCTGAAACTCTAAACCTGTAATCCCCAAACTCAGGAGGACAAAGGCTCACACAGTGAAACCATGTGTCAAAAAAGAAAAGGGACTGGAGAGATGATTTAGAAGCTAAGAACATGTATTGCTCTTGCCAAAAACCTGAGGTTTTGGATTCTCAGCACCTTTATCGGGTGGCTTACAACCACCTGTAACACCAGATCACAGTGAAATAAAACCTTTGACTTCTATGACTCAAACATATCTGTACTTACAAATTAACAGTATGTTTTAGGGAGAAGGAGGATTGTGAGGAGGAGAGAGAACAGGAGGAGGAGGTGGTGGTTGGGGAGAAGGAGGAATGGGAGGAGGAGAGAGAACAGGAGGAGGAGGTGGTGGTTGGGGAGGAGGAGGAATGGGAGGAGGAGAGAGAACAGGAGGAGGAGGTGGTGGAGGCTAGAGAGATGGTTCAGCATTAAGAGCACTTGTTGCTCTTGCAGCAGACCCAAGTTTGGTTCCTAGAAGCAACGTGTCAGCGCACAACCATCAATTCAGTTCCAGAGGATCTGATGTCCTCTTCTGGCCTCCACAGGTACATGGGACATGCAGTGAACAGACATTCGCGCAGGTAAAATATCCATACACATAAAGTAAAATAAACAAAGTCTTTTGTGAAAAAGAACAAACAAAGGGAGACCCTGGGTTGTTGAGTGGGAGTCTCTGAGGACTCTGGGAGTTGCTCTTTGATTCATTTGTCACTCTTGAATTTAAGAGCCTCTACCCTGGGCTCCTGTCCTTCCTTTAGTGGACTTCCCTACTCCCACACCTAGTGGCCTGTTTAGAGCTCAGGTAGCTTTTGCTTTGAGCTCTTTGACGCCATCTTTGATCATAGCCCTAGGCAGAGCTCTGCTTGGCTCCTCCCTTTTTTCTGTAAGCCTGGGCACTTCCCTCAGGCTGAGAGGAGTCTGAGGACACCAGGCCTACACTGGGCTAGGCAGGACTGACAAAGGCTGCTTGTGAAACTGAAGGAAGAAAAGCTCTTTAGTTTTATTTATTTATTTATTTATTTATTTATTTGTTGGTGTCAGAATTTGTTGGCATGGAAGCCAGCCCATAGAAAATGGGCACTGGCAGCTTCCCAGACCCTAGCCAATCATGGGGCATGAGACACAGAGAATATTTTGTGTGCCTCAAAGAAGAAAGGGCAGAAAGGGGGTGGGCATGATGGTTGAACACACCTGAAGAGGACAGGGCGACCAAGAGACGTGTGAGATGATTCTAGATGACCCATCCCAGGCTCCCTGGCTCTTCAGTAAATTCTATTAAACCCATGAGTGTTTCTGTGACCGACTTCTCCTGGGGAACCTGAGGGAGTGTCAAAGGTTCCAGTGAAAGATGAAGATGATTCAGCTAGGGTCCTGGGGTCACAGAGGAGCCCCAGAACAGACAGCCAACTGGAAAGGAAGGACAGAGGTCCTTCCATCAACCGCTCAGTGCTGACACTGAGAAGTGAGAAGAAAAGTGGAAACTGGTTTGGCTCTCTAAATGCAGTGCTAATTACAGCCATTCGTGCAAACTGCTATCCATTACTGCTTAATTGCTTGCCGTGTGGTACTGTAATAATTTTGCATTGCCATGAACTACATGTCAGGCTCAGCCGAGTTCTCTTTGCTTCCTTGCAGCCAGTCTTCCCAGGCCTTGTGTGCTCGGTTGGGTTGTATGTGGTTAAAACAGTGGTTATAGCTACCACTTCCAGAAAAGGAGGAGGAGCAAGGGGAGGAGGAGGAGAAGGGGGAGGAGGAGGAGAAGGGGGGGTAGGAGGAGAAGGGAGAGGAGAAGGAGGACAAGGAGAAGGAGGAAGAAGAGGGGTATACACATGCTATATGATTAATTCCAGAAAGGCTGAGGTACCTCCTGCTGGCTTAAATATCAGTGTATTGTCTAGTTTTGGAAGCCAGGGCAGAGAAGAATACTATAAGTTCTAATGCTTTATATCTGTTTGTCCCTTTTTAAAAAAAAAATTAGGAGAACAATAAAATGTCTAGCACTAAAGCAGCCAGATCCCTGCATACCTCTAGAATGGGGTGTGCCCAATGAGTCACTGCTGAGGTCAGTAACCAATCCTCAGTGCATGCTTTGGGAAGAAGATAAAAAGAGAGAAACAGCTCCTTAGGGCCCAGGTAATAAAGCCAGGATGGAAAAGCTCCCACCAAGAAGCGGTAGAGATGAGAGGGACCTACTATGTGCCTGACTTAGGCACTGTTATAGGTGGGGGGAGGGGACATCAGAAAATACAAAAGCTGTTTCCAGCTCTGAGGAAGTGGCAAGTAGGTTGGGTGAGGGACTATGGGTGAATAAGACACCTAGCTAAGGCACAAACAACACTGAAACATCATTAAAGCGGCCTTACTTCTGCAAGTCTTCTGATCCGTGTTGAGAATGTACCCTTGCTTGCACTTGCAGATGTACGAGCCAGGCGTGTTGATGCAGAAGTGGGCACAGTTGTGTTCTGAGACGCTGCACATGTGGACAGCTGCAAAGGAAGACAAAGAAGGTGAGCAGTGACACCTCCCTCAGCCTCTGTCTATCCAGCAAGTGTGTATTGTGAGCATGTGAAGAAGAGGGCTGAGACCAAAGAGAAACAATCTGAAGTTCCTTTCAGCAGGGAGGTTCTCTGTCTAAAGTTGACAGATAAATAAAGGAAAGAGGAACAGTGTTAGGGTGAACTATATGAGACTGCTGATTCTGTACGGTTTTTGACCCACAAATTCACAAATTTCAGGTTCAGTTTAACACCATTTGACAGGCAGAGAAGATGAGAGAAGTTTCTGATTCAGAATGTCTTTAGTAAGATGGAGCCTTAAGGAGGCAGAAGTGGAGTTGGGAGGAGAGCTACTGGTTAAGTGAAGGCGTTAGAATCCAACAGCCTCCCACACTCATAAATCCTAAGAACAATGTACTTTTGAATCTGCATAAAGTATACAAAAATTTGGAATAACACTGTATTCAAATGTTTTATACTGCCATGATTTTTGTGTCTCAATTTTAAATATTGCTGCATTTAGTTTTTGAAAGTGTCTCAGCTTCAGACACATAGGTTCTTACATAAGTCTGTATAGAGCTCTTGCAATTCTTGTTTTGTTTTGTTTTCATATTAACAGCATAGCTTTATTTTCTTTAGCAACAAACATTGAAGCACTAGACCAAATGGCCTCTAATGGTCCCTAAGTGCCTGAGGATCAAATCAGGATAAAAAAATTAGGCTCCCACATTTATGTAGCAGCTATTATTTCTGGAATCTTTTCCTTAGGGAAAACTGAGACGGAGATAAGGTCAGACCTGGGTACCCAGCCAGGCTTAAAAGGAAACCGGAGGCCCAAAGAGATGTATGGTGTTCACCACTATGGAAAGCTGGTCAAGAAAGTTCATGATGGAAATTCTGAGTAGACGAGAATCTTCTGCGATCCAGTGTACCTCCAGTATGCTGCCACTCACTTTAAGTTCCTTCCCTACCAGTCCTTGGTGTGGTTCAACATCAGGAGCTAGGGACCCACAGGCGAGTTCTGCCTCCAAAGAGGTCGGGAAAGGCACGAAGAGGGCAAATCTATGATGTTGGATCCCAGGCCTTTGGGTTAAAGGCATGGTGCTTTTGCTGGAATTTCGGGAGGCTTCCAGTGCTCTTGGAACAGGGTGAGCTCCACTGGGAATAACTGCCATTATGCCGGCATTACCAGGACAGCAGAGGCCAATAGGACCATCGGTGGTGCTATCTGCAGTGTGGCTTAATCCTGTGTGTGCTGTCTGCATGTCTGCTGGGCTCCTCCCTCCAACCCACCCTCGTGCTACCAGCCTGCCCCCTCCACCACTGCTGCGGCACAGAACCTGCCTTGCAATTCTTGTTTTTTTAACATCTCAATTTATGACTTTAATCTAGTACAACTTGAACACATTTAAAATTAACAGCCACCAGTGTTAACAGAACACATTATGTAAGTATTCTCATAAGCAAAAGATGTCCAAATGAGAAAATCGTTTTCTGAAGCTTATACAATAAAGGAGAAATTTAAGAGCAACCCTGTGTTTAGCCAGTAGGTAGGGAAACTCAACTACTGATGGACTACTTAGGCATATACACCTCTCTGCATTTTAGTAAGGAATGTTGTGGCCAATTGTAAATACAAGTTAAAGTTACTTGGGAAGAGGAAACCTTAACTGAAAAAAATGCCCCCACCAGTTTGGCCTGTGGAGTATTTTCTTATTGCTGATTGACACGAGGGCCCATCTCTATGGATTGTGCTATTCCTTGGCTGGTGGCCCTGGGTGGCATAAGAAAGCAACCTGTGCCAGGGGTGGCGGCTCTCATCTTTAACGCCAGCATTTGGGAGGCAGAAGCAGGTGGATCTCTGGAAGTTTGAGGCCAGCCTGGTCTACATCGTAAGTTCCAGGACAGCCAGATCTATATAGTGAAATCTTGTTTTGAAATAACAATAAAGAAAGAAAGGAAGGAAAGAAAGAGGGAAAAAGGAAGAAAAGAGCAAGGGAGGGAAGGAGAGAGGGAGAGAGGCAAAAGGAGAGGAAAGAAAGAAGAGAGAGAGAGAGAGAGAGAGAGGAAAGAAAGGAAAGCCATGAGGGACAAGCCAGTAAGCAGCGCTGCTCCACGGCCTCTGCTTCCTCCCTGCCTCCAGGTTCCAGCCTTGACATCCCTCGTGATGATTCTTGACCTGAGAGTTGTAAGCTGCTTTTGGTCATGGTGTTTTATCACAGCAATAGAAACTCAAAGACAGCAATATATGAGATAGGGGAATGAAGCTTTTATTTTATAACAGCACAATTTAGACCATATTGTTCTGAGCTCATAACCGTGTTTTAGCTCCTGTTGGATATAAATCACATAAAGGAAGTTGTAGTTTTAATCCAACCATTTTTACTACAAGATGAAATAGTTGACCTTTTCATGACCCTGAGACATTTTAATATCTTTGTATTAAACGAAGCTAAACATTACACCAACCTCATCAGGGCCTTATGAGACTTCACTGAACTAACCTGATAAAGTGGCCACAACGGTGATCAAAAACGCTTAACACCTATTAACCATTTCATAGCCAAGGAACAGTATCATGTTGTTTGATTTTTCTTTTTGATTTTATTCTATGTGTTTTGCCTGCATGTATGTCCTGTTCATCATCACATGCATACCTGGTGCCTGAGGAGGTCAGAAGAGGGCATACAACCCTCTGGAACTGGAGTTACAGATGACTGGGTAGTGCCCTGGAGTGCTGGGAATTGAACCAAGTTTGTCTGGAAAAACAACCAGTGCTCTAACTACTGGGCCACCTCTCCATCATAGTATCATTTATTTTACATTTGGGAATATCATCTCTTCCTATACCCTACTATCAATCTGTCTGTCTGTCTATCCATCCATCCATCCATCCATCCACTTGGATTTTCATTCAACATTAATCACAAATTCTGTCTGTACTGACTCAAGCACTGTACTTCACAGCATCCAAAATGTGCTCTAATTTCAAAGATATTAAAATGAACCTCATTCTGACAGACTGCATATTCGTGGATTTGCCTGGCCACTGAAGTGTTCTTGTAACCTCAGCACTTCCCCAGGCTTCACTGAGTTACTGAGAGATAACACCAGTGTATCTCCTGCTTTTGCTGCCCTTGGGTGGGTTGAACAAGGCAGCATTGCTTCCTTTAGTTCCTATTATTTCATATAATAGCAAATTGTTGCTTTCACAGTCCAGGCAGCACTGTGCTTTTTTACATTTTTGCGGGTTTTGTAGGTAGCTTTCCTGTTTGAAATGACCCACTAAGTACAAAAAGCTATGATAAAGCCTTTTTAGGAAACTAAATATATTAAAATATATTCCAACCTAGAATGATTTAAGGTCTTTAATGGCCATGAGCTCAAGGTTAGTGAGTCAACAATTCATATTAAATTTGTTGTCTCTGAATAGATTATATATTGACCAGCTACAAAAATGTCAGGTGACCCCGAGGCTCATAGCAACCAATCCTGCCTGGATTTTGGATAAAAGAAACGATTCCATACCCTTTAATTCAGAGTTTACAGTGACTTCAATGGAGCAAAATCTCGGTGAACAGTGGAAAACAATTCTATCTGAGATTTAATCTCGAATGTGAGCTCTAACTTAATTAACTTTTTTGATTGAATTAAATTAGCTGGCCCTGGATGAAGTCTACTGATGGGTTCATCCATTGGTCCAGAGGCCATTTCTCAGCCTCCTTAGACATTTCCCTGTTGGTCGGCATGGGGATGGTTTCTAATCTTTCACCTTTAGACAGATGGAATGAGCACACTCAAATATGTTTCCCAGAAGACACACAGTTATTTCTCCAAGATTGGCTCCAGTGTAACTAACCACTGGGCCCAAGTCAAGTTGAGTTTCCATCACTTTCAACCAAAAGAATCTCAAACATTTTTACAGAACAGAATAAGAACTGTCTGTCTGTTGAGTCCTATAGCTGAGAGTGTCTCTGCACACATCTGGTCTCGTGCCTGCTCATCTTCGCTGTGCTGTTAAAGAAGAAGGTTGCAGCATTCTGCTTCCCCCACTGAGCTGAAGAACTGTGTGAGCCGATTAGTGCCATTCCTCAGAAAGTATCATGTTTAAGCTCCTCCAAGGATTTTACAGAAGAAATAATAAACCACTAGCCTAAATCAGTATAACTGGATTTTTAAAAATTATAGAATTTATTATTTTAAATTTTGTGGTGTCTAGAATTGGAATTGTTGTTGTTATTTATTTATTTATTTATTCATTTATTTATTATTTACTTTATATCCCTCTCATTGGCCCACTCCTGGTTGAATTTTTTATTTTTAAGACAATGCCTCATTTAACCCAAGCTGGCCTAAGGGAAGAGTGTGTGTGTGTGTGTGTGTGTGTGTGTGTGTGTGTGTGTGTACCTTTAATCTCAGCATTTAGAAGGTAGAGGCAGGCAGATCTGTGACTAACAAGCCAGGACTATATAATTAACTTCTATATAAAAGAAAGAAAGAGAGAAAGAAAGAAAGAAAGAAAGAAAGAAAGAAAGAAAGAAAGAAAGAAAGAAAGAGATTGACTGAGGGAGAGAGGGAGGGAAGGAAGGAGGGAGAGAGGAGAGAGGTAGGGAGGAAAGCCAAGAAGAATAAGTAGCTAATTTTTTTGAGGTGGGGATTGATTTGTAAAAGAGTTTTGCTATGTAGCCTGGACTGGCCTAGAATTCATCATCATCCTGCTTCAGCCTCCTGCATGCTGGGACTATAGGTGTGCACCACCACACCCAGTTTGCTTGTGAAATCTGTTTTTAAAGAATGTGTGAATAATCAAATGAGCATTCTGCTCTGTATAGCTGACTGAGGGTCTCGTCAGGAACAATCATTGAATATATAAGCCAGCATCTCTATAGGTTTGCCTCCCTGTTTCACAATAGAGCCTCAAAGGGGTGAAATCAATGTAGACTTTGCCCAGATGCAGGGTGTGCCTTTAGAACACTATTTGGGCCTTAAGC